CTCTGCCGCCTGAACAACGGCACGAAGGCGGAGCGCATTCCACGAAAAGGGGGGGAAATACGGAGATTGAAGCAGGCGAGCGAGAAGCAGAGCGAATTGGGTGAGTTTCTCGAAATAATTGGAAAGAAAGTTAAAGCAGAGCCCGGGTATTATTTGTAAGATTTAGACATTTTCTGGCGTGCATATCAGTTTCGGGACGGACGGAGGGTGTGCAAAAAAAAAAAAAAAAGAAAAAGAACGGGTTGGTTCAACATATGGATGGGCGTGGAAGCAAAGAGAATAAATACTGGAGAGAGTTTGCACGCTCAAATGTTGATGTTTGGTGTGCCAAAGGCATTGTCACACGATGTAAACTATCCCAGGTCAAGCTGCCTTTTGCAACTGATCAATGGGTGTTTGGTCAATGCTGATGGTTATTAATGGTTTTGTAGCACAGCTTCAGCCAGATATTTGGACTGCATTTGGCATTTTGGTCCACCTATCAAGACCTTGTAGCTCAGAGTTACACTGTGGGCTCCTTGGTGCTCTCTGAGCTTAATTGCTTCCTTGCAGACGTTTCATGACCCTACATCACAATGCCACTGAGTGTGGGGTTTGCTGTCTGTTTATATAACTGTAGCTTGCCCTGGCATTGTGGGGGGGCTGTGATTCTCTCCTTGATAGCTCCTCAATTAGGATAATATTTTCTGCTTGATTGTCTGGAGTTAATCTCTGATTATCTGAGTCTTGGCGAGGATGTAAATCCTCTTTATATTCCCTCCTTCGCTTTTTATTGTGTCTTTTGAGTGGTGTGGAAATGTGGTTCATCTCTCTGTGCCTGTAGATTAATAGTAGTAGTAGTAGTAGTAGTAGTAGTAGTAGTAGTAGTAGTAGTAGTAATAATAATAATAATAATAATAATAATAATAATAATAATAATAATAATAATAATAATAATAATAATAATAATAATAATAATAATGATGATGATGATGATGTTGGATGGGTTGGATAGCTGACAGGTCTGAATAACGTAACTTTTCCAACAGTTTGAGAGCATGCCATATTTATTTATTTATTTATTTATTTTGAATGGGACCAATTTTCCTTTTTTTTTTTTTTTTTAGTTGCCATTAGATCCTTCTGAAAAAAATGCTTGGATTCTTAAAGCAGCCAATTGTCTTTTCATTGGAAATCAATGTAAACCTGGTGGTTTTAACTGTGATCGGATTAATCAGCCGGCTGTGGGCACTGTCCTATCCCAGAGCTGTCGTGTGAGTAAACTGATCCAAATATAAGTGTGTACCGTAGATTGAGTAGATTTAAAGTGTCCGTATCGACAATGGCTCTTCCGGGGATTAAAAAGAAACTTTTCTCTCTGCTGTTTATAAAGACCATTGGCGGAAAACCACAACGTTGCATTTTACGTACAAGCTTGTATTCCAGACACTTAAACTGTTATTCAGTCCAGCTTTTTGGGGTGTGAAAAAGCCTGGAAAAGGAATTGAGATTAGCATGAATCAAGCTGTCACGCTGCACAAGGGGGCTTGTTTATATTTTATGGTATGACGGAATTGTAGCTGAATGGATGAACTGAACTCTACTGTGATTTGGACTTCACGCTACGTTGTGTTTAGGATATGCATGGTAGTCCTTGACTTACGACTGTAGTTCAGCCCAAAATTTCAGCTGCTGAGGATGGAGACAGCTGTTAAGTGAGTTTTGTCCCATTTTACGACCTTTCTGGACACAGATATTAAGTGAATCCCTGCAGTTGTTAAAGTTCATTTAACAGCCGGGTTACTAATTTAACAACTGCAGGAATTCCCCTTACAGTACTGTATGGTACTGTACGTACGGTACGGTACAGTACGGTTCTGTATTGTTTTATTTCAGCTTTGATGAAGTTTACTATGGCCAGTTCCTCTCCTTGTACATGAAGCGGATCTTCTTCGTAGATGACAGCGGGCCCCCGTTCGGCCACATGCTTTTCGCTTTGGGAGGTATGCACATTTTCAAAGAATTCATCCTGTGTTGCAAGAATAAATTAAGGCATCTCTCTCCGCTCCATATTGTCGGGAATTTGAATATTAGCAAACTGAAACTTTGCAAATAAAGAAGGGGAAAAAGGAAAGCTGAAAATGATTGGCTTTGGGCCAATCACCCAGAGACGGTGAGTTCTAGTCCTGCCTTAGGCACGCAAGCCGACTAGATGTCTTTGGACCAATCCTTCTCTTAGGCCAACCCACCTTGCAGGATTGTTGTTGTGGGGAAAATAAGAGGAGGATGGAGTATTAAATACGTTCACCGCCTTGAGCTATTTCTAAAAACAATAAAGGCAGGATGCAAATCAATACATAAAATTTAAAAATGAAAATAAATGTTGGAAAAAGCTAAGCACAAATTTCCTTTGCACACAAAGGAGAAAACGGAAATGCACAACATTGGCGCTTAATTAAATATATATTTTAATAGCTGAGCCTTTTCCTTCTTACAGGCAGAATACTTTTTAAAAAAATCCTTGATTTTACTTTGTTTGCAGATTCTTGAAGTTTATTTTCTTAGCGGCAATCAAGAAGGAAAGATATAGTCAAAACTTTAGCCCCTGAGGCCATGACATTCCTGCCATAATTGTTTTATATAGTTGAACGCTGTTCTTTCCTTCAGGGTTAACTTCCTCTCTGCATTTTATTAGTCATAATATCTGAATTTCACAATTGGCTTTGCTCCTGGGCTGAAGATTGATGTATTCTTATATTTTAGCACCCTTGTTTCAATTTGATTTACGTTAGATCATTTTTAGTCTGAAGTGTTTGTGTGGTTTTAGATTTTAGCTGTTTTTACGGATTTTTTGTTTTGTCCTATGCTGCCCAAAATCCATGGCAGTTGAATATCTAGTCTGCATTTAAATTCAGATAACAAAGAGTTGAACTAATGATTGCATTTGCAAAACACTGGAAGAGGCTGGACAACCATTTGTCTGAAAGGGTATAGGGTTTCCTGCCTGAGCAGGAGGTTGGACTAGATGACCTCCAAGATCCCTTCCAACTCTGGTAGTATTTATGCTAGATGGAGAAATGGGGGGGGAATCCATATATTGCTAAGGAAACCATATGGATACATCCAGATGTTTTGCCAGCATCCCACTTTAATTTAAGTTTAGGTTTTGTGGCCTGGAAAACTTATCCTTCTTTTTCCCTTCCTTTACAGGTTATTTAGGGGGATTTGATGGAAATTTCTTATGGAACAGGATAGGAGCAGGTAAAATGGTTTCTGATTCACCCTCCAGCTAATAATTGACAAGGACATGGCCACCAGTTCAACTGGAAAAACTAGAGGTGGGGGGGAGGGAAATAAAGGAAACATTCTGCATTTTATATAAAGCTTTGTTCTTGTGTTATTCCTAAGGGTTGATGAGAGATATAGAAAAACAAGCTAAAACAGAGAGAGAAATAGATAAGCAAGCTGCAATAGACAAGAGATACAGATCAACAAGCTGCAGTTAACTAGGGATATAAGTAACCCTCGACTTATGAACACAAAATTTCTGTTGCTAAGCGAGACAGTTGGGTTTTGCCCCATTTTACCACCTTTCTGGCCACAATTGTGAAGTGGATCCCTGCAGTTAAGTTAGTTAAAC